GGGTTAAAAACTTCCCCGTGCCCAAAATGGACAAACTGGGATCAGGGCTGAAGGGCTACATCAACACAGAGCACAGGCAGATGAGGATATTTCATATACCAGCATTTGGGGTGCAGCCTGTGGCCTCAACTTGTGGCGCTGCCTGGTTCAGGGATGGGAATGTCTCTCCCGTATTCCCTGGATTCGTGGAGGAGAATTGTCCCACTGAGAGCAGAGCCCACGCCGTGCAGGGCTGCGACACGGTGCCTTTGGCTCTGTTTCCTGATGCAAGAATATATATGTATATATATTATTTTTTTTCTTACCACCTCGCTTGGGGTTTCAGTTTGATTCAGAGCCGATACTCGAGAGTTTGGTTCAGAGCTGATACTCAAGAATTTGGCGTTGCTCACTGGGGAGCCCAGGCTCTCTGCCGAATGGAGGTGGCCCCGAGTGGTCACGGAGAACACTCCTGTGGAGCCTCCCTGGGGCTGGGGGAGCTGTAAACCCCTTACACAGGAGCCTTGAGTCACAGGGTGATGCTCAGCAGAGATGGGCTGACCTCCCAACACCCTGCCACTCTGGCCTTTCCCAAAATACCCATGTATTTGTAAGATATACCCACTGACAGGTGATGTCATCATCAGAAATACCACCCCTACGGGAAAATCTGGCAGTTGTATTTCATTATCTGTACTCCTGGTCTGCAGTGAAGGTGTTTCCAGCCTCCTCCTGTCCTCTGGTGTGAGATGTCACCCTGGCAGTGCTAACCCTGCTGCTTCTCTTTGTCCCTAGAGTGATTTATCCCCTGTCCGACTCCCCGTCGGTGAAGATGTCCCAGGCATCTCCAGCTGATGAAGGCACAACGTTTGAGCACCTCTGGAGCACGCTGTAAGTGGTGGTCAGTCGTTTGCTTTGAGGTTTATTCTGAGGCTCTGGCGTCGGTGTGTGACACTGTTCCTCACATTCAGGGCTCCATGGGGATGGTATCAGGGCCAGAGCACAGGTCCCCTCTCAGCTGGGACCTTTGCCTTGCCTGGGACCAAGCCTTGGAGGATGCGTTCTTACTCATCAGTCTTCGCTCATCAGGTCATGATGAGTGGCTGCCTAATTAAGATGGATAATTTCTAAAATTAAACATTTGGTCAGACCAAGACTACTTCAAGACACCTTGGCCTTTGAGCCTCATGGTCTAATTAAGTAAAGAAGAAGGACCGTGCTTCATTTCACCCTCTTTCCTCCTTGGTGTCCTCTCACTTAAGGACACCCCGAGGGGAGGGGGACACCAGAGACATTGGGTAAATGAAAAACTTCCCGAGTCTCTGCTTGCTTTGCCCACCAGGCAACAGTTTTCCTGAGCAGAGCCTGCTCTGCCACGTGGAAATAGAAGCGGCGGGTGGAGGGAGAGGTTGAGAAGGCACCAAGGTTCACGGGAGGGCAGGTTGCTGGTGGTGGTGGGGCAGGCTGTGCCGCAGAGTTGGGGGGCTGACTGTGCCATCCCCTTTCCCACAGGGAGCCAGACAGCACCTACTTCGACCTCCCCCCGTCCAACCACACCGGCAGCAATGAGGTCTCCAACCGCACAGAGGTGACGATGGACGTCTTCCAGATGAGGAGCATGAACGACTCGGTCATGGTGAGCGCCCGAATGGGACCTGCATCAAATGCAGGTCCGTGGTCCTCTCAGCGGGCTGGGGGACAGGGGGGCAGGGGGTGGGATGTTTGCTGGTGCACAAACCCAACCCAAGCCCCGTGCGTTGGGCTGTAAGAACCTGTGGTTGACGGCTGCTCCTCAGGTTTGCAGCGGATGCTTCCCCAAAAGAATGGCTACTTATTGATAGGTATTATTGCTGCAGGGGACAGTGGGGGCTCTGTGATATAATGGTGCTGGAGCTTGAGTTCCTCCAGAGGAGGGGAGTGTAATTCTCCCCGGTACAAACATGCCATGTGGTAAAAGCCATGTGTGAGCTGCTGGCGAGACAGAGCTGCTGGAGGGGCACCTTGTCTCCCAGGTCTGTGCCCTCTGGGCTGTGTAGGGAAGAGTGTGGCCAGGAGGTCAACGGAAGCCATTCTCCCCCTCTGCTCTGCACTGGGGAAGCCACAACTGGAATCCTGCGTCCAGTTCTGGGCTCTCCAGTTCAAGAGGGACAGGGAACTGCTGGAAAGATTCCAGTGAAGGGCAACAGAGATGAGTCAAGGACTGGAGCATCTCCCTGATGAGGAAAGGCTGAGAGAGCTGGGACTCTTTAGTCTGGAGAAGAGAAGGCTGAGGGGAGACCCTATTAATGCTGACAAGTGTCTAAAGGGTGGGTTGAAGGAGGAGGGAGCCAGACTCTTTCCAGTGGTTCCCAGTGAGAGGATGAGGGGCAACGGGCACAAGTTGGAACATAAGAGGTTCCACTCAAATATGAGGAGAAACTTCTTCACAGTGAGGGTGGCAGAGCCCTGGAAGAGGCTGCCCAGGGAGGGTGTGGAGTCCCCTTCTCTGGAGATCTTCAAGCCCCACCTGGATGCTCCTGAGTAACATGCTCTGACAAGCTCTGGGCAATCCTGCTTCAGCAGGGGGGTTGGACTGGATGATCTCTGTGATCCTTTCCAATTCTAAAAATTCAGTGAAATTCAGTTGCCCTTCCCTCCGAGAAGCTGCTCTGCCTCCGTCTAAGGCAAAGGGTTTGAAAAGCAGCCGAGCCCTTCCCTCTGAGAAGCTGCTGTGCCTCTGTCTAAGGCAAAGGGTTTGAAAAGCAGCCGAAGGGGCGTGCGAGATGGCCGGGTGGCTTGGGCAGGTTCAGTGCCACGAGCCTGGTGGCCTCCCAGGAGCATCCCTGAAGCGGCGCCGGCCCCGGCAGCATCTCCCTCCAGAAAGCGGCCGTTTCCCTCCTCGCCAGCTTGCGTCCCCCTCCCCCAGCCCCTTTTTTCCCTCCCTTTTCCCTGGCTTTCCCTCCCTTCCCCGGCCTTTGTCTGCGGAGGGCAGGAGCCTGGCAGAGGGTGGTGGTGCTAATTGGGGAGCTGCCCCTCACTGGGCTGGCCCTTTGTCTTTCTTCTTGTTCCCGGTGTCACCGGAGCTGAGCCCAGCGGGATTCGGAGCATCCCGGGATGTTGCCATGGCCGGGGGAGTCCTGGTCTTTGCTGGGCTGGTCACAGAGAGGGCAGAGCCAGCCTGTGCTCGGGATAACGAGCCAACAGTAATTATTTACTCTGGTCCATCGTGCCACCCAGTGATGCCCAGTGAGCCACTGGTGTCACTGCAGCTCGCAGCAGGGTGACACGCATGGAAATAAAGGCACAGATAAGGTGGTGCTGTCGGGCTGAAAGAAAGGCAGGAGAAGGGAGAGAAGAAAGCTGGGGAAGGGGGGCTGCTCGGTGTGCTCTGGGGGTCCTGCTGTGCCCAGTGTTCAGTGGTGATGGAGTGGGGTTGTGGGGGGCAATGGTGCTGGTGCTCAGGGGTGCCAGGTGGACACCCGAAAGCCCTGTCACCTGCCCTCCAGATGGGTGTGATGCTCCCTCTCGGCCACTGACCGACCTGTGTGTGGGTGCGTGCATGCAGAGCAGTGCTGGGAGGTGCAGGCTGGTTCCACCTTTCCAAACACATCGTGCTACTCTGAACCGCTCCTCCTCTTCAGCACACAGCCTTCTGTGCTGGGGTCTGGCTGAAGGAAACACCGTTCCCCCTTCTGCCTCCAGTCAGAAGGAAATCTGCCCAATCACTCCAGATATCTATATATCCATCTATCCATACCTGTCCATCTAGATATCTATCCATGTCTGTCTGTCTAGAGATCTGTCTGGCCATTTATCTCCATCTATCCATATTTATCTGTATCTATCTATATCTATCCATCCATCTCCATCTATCCATATCTACCCATGTCTATCCATCTAGATTTCCATCTGCCTCCATCTATCCATATCTATCCATCTAGATACCCATCTATCCATATCTACCCATGTCTATCCATCTAGATTTCCATCTACCCCCATCTGTCCGTATCTATCCATCTAGATACCCATCTATCCATATCTATCCATCTAGATATCTGTCTATCCATATCTATCCATCTAGATATCTCTCTATCCGTATCTATCCATCTAGATATCTGCCTAGCCTCTATCCCCATCTATATCTATCCATCTAGATATCCGTCTATCCATATCTATCCACCTAGATATCTGCCTAGCCTCTATCCCCATCTATCCATATCAATTTATATCTATCCATCTGTACATCCATCTATCTCCCTCTATCCTTACCTATCCATCTATATATCCATCTATCCATATCTATCCATATCTATTCACCTAGATATCTATCTATCCCCCTCTCTATCCGTATCTGTCCACCTATCCATATCTATCCATATCTATCCATCTATCTCCCCATCTATCCGTATCTATCCACCTAGATATCTATCTATCTCCCTCTATCCGTATCTATCCATCTATATACCCATCTATCCATATCTATCCATATCTATTCACCTAGATATCCATCTATCCCCCTCTTCCATACCTATCCATCTATATACCCATCTATCCATATCTATCCATATCTATTCACCTAGATATCCATCTATCCCCCTCTCTATCCGTATCTATCCATCCAGACAGGGATAACTCCGTATCTCGGAGCTGTGGAGCTCTCTCAGAGCCACTGCATCACCTGGTGGACACAAGGGCAGCCACCTCGGTCTGCTGGAGAAGGGTGCTGGCCGAATGGGTTTCCAGCCCAGTGGGGCTGCAAACAGCTTTCTGGGGTGAAATCCATCCGGATTCGATGATGGAGCTGGACCCCCGCTCTCCCCGTGGTGGGAATGGTTGGTATCGCCCAGTCCATCACTGGGCAAGCTGGGGCCTGCCCTGCGCTTTAATGAATAGTCATGAGGGACAGAAAGGGGTGGGCCCCCGTTTTGTTGTTGGATGCAGCCGGTTGACAGAACTAAGGGAGATGAAAAAAGCAAAAAAAGCCAACACAGGGTGGCACACGGGTGGCCGGCGCAGCATCCCTGCCGCTGCCCGCGCTGCCCCGTCCCGCCGCCCTCCCGCCCCGACTCCATGACTCCCGTGGCGGGACGCTTCCCAGCGCTCCCTCAATCCCCAGACGACTAAAATGCTGTACATCAGCGACCCGATGCAGCATTACACCACGGTAGGTGCTACCTCCTCTTTACGGGTTATCCCTTGCTGCCTCTTCTTGGCAACCGCCCTCCGCTCCGCTGCCGAGGCTGGACCTGGGCACAGCTCGGGCTCTGCTGCTGCCTGGGATGTGCCAGGAGCTCACCATGGCATGAGCCTTCCTCCATCCCATGGCTGTATGGAGGAGCTGAAGCTGCTCCAGCCCCACCGTGGACCGTAACTGGTGTGGGTGTGGGATGCTGCAGCCTCGGCGTTTCTCTCGCTTTGCTTGGTCCATTTAAATCTTTGGTGCAAAGGGTTTGGTGCCCGGGCTCCCTCGCCCAGATGGGAAGGGGATTAGCTGGAGCATCCTTCTGAGGAACTCCCTCTTATGCTGGGCACCACCAGCACCAGTTTCTCTTCCATTGGGGACCTCCTCATGGCACGGACCCCCAGCCCTGGGCATCCTTCCTCCCCTGGGCTAACCCCTCTGGGAGGGCAGAGCGGGTGAATCAGTACCTGCACCTTCATTTTTGCATTTTCATCCCCATCCTGAAGCGCCGAGGCTGCTTCCTCCATCAAAAGGCTTGTGTGTCTGCTCTCTGGCATTCCCAAAAGTCAGATAGGGGCAGAGATGCTGTCGGAGACAGAAAGGTGCGGTGCTGGGCTTCCCAGAAATTACTTCACTCCTCTTTTTTTGCCTCCCGTGCGTCGGTAGGAAGCACACAGGTAGGGGTGGTTGTGCAGGGAAGAAGTGCTGTTCCTTGGGAGGTCCTTGCTGCAGTCATGGGAATATTTACGGATGTGTGGGGATAAACAGCTCTGTGTATATGTATACATTTACAGATTACAAACACAAGGGCTGTGATGGGTTTGTTGACACGCGCCTTCACACACAAACACTCTCGCCTTCGTTTTGGCTTTTAAGGGAATGTTTCCAAAATTGAGTCAATTTTTAAAAACAAGTTGTCCTTTTTTCCCCCTGCACCTGACTTTGGGTAGCCCAGCCAGCGGATCTGCAGAGCTCTGGTACCCGGGGCGTTGCCTGGTGGTTTCTGCTGGTGGGGGGATGCTCTGGGTCTCCTTTTGTGTCCAAAGGGTTGGTGTCTTCTCCCAAGGAATAAGAAATAGGAAAAGAGGAAACGGCCTCAAGTTGTGCCAGGGGAGGTTTAGGATGGATATTAGGAAAAACTTCTTCACCAAAAGGGTTATTGAACCTAGAACGGGTGGCCCAGGGCAGTGGTGGAGTCACCATCCCTGCAGGTATTGAAAGGCTGGGTAGACGTGGTGCTGAAGGACGTGGGTCAGCGGGGGTTTGGGCAGTGCTGGGTTGAAGGACTCGATGATCTGAAAGGTCCCTTCCAGCCCAGACAATTTCCTGGCAGGAGATGAGCAGTTCAAGGAGCACACGTGCCGAGCTCTACGAGGGCAGCTCCAACAGGCAGGTGGCCCAGGGCACGTGTGCGGACTCTTCCCTGGGGCCCTTCCCTTCTCCCGGGGGAAGAGAACAGCTCAGGCGTGATGCTCAGGGATTATTTGGGCTGTGGATCAGCCCTGACAAGCCACAATCCCTTTTCCCCCTGTTGCTCTTTCCCTGGCCCAATCCTGAGCTCTGCTTCCCAAGGGTGACTTCTCCTGCCCACCATCCTGCCCACCACCGAGGCTGCCCTGGCCCTGCTCTCCCCGACGGCTTTCCACTGACAATTAACACCCATTTTGCTGCAGTTTCTTGTGACTTTTCCTCCAGGTGAAGCCTGGGATGACGGAAAGCTTGGATGGGGGTGGTTTTGTCTTTGGCAGGGCTATTTATAGAGCGGCGGGAAGGAATAGAGGGGTTTGCGCACATATTTTTAGGGGAGAAAATGGTTGTATGCGTAAAAGCAAGCCGGGTCTTGTTCAGCATTCCTCCAGTTAGTCACAGGCTCCAACGACCTTGCGAGAGATGCAGACAACAGGAGAACTTCCCTGGAGAAGGATGATTGCCTTTAAACCATTCTACATCGTAGACGTTTGGGTGAGGTTGGGATCCCAAGTTAAAACACGTCCCGTGATTCCTAAGCCGTGAGCCTCGCCGCCCTTCGGAGGAGAAGGCTGAGCCTGCTGGTCGTCCCAGTAGCTCCCAGTTTCCCAACTGGTGCTGGTGGCTGGAGGGACGCAGGGGTAGGAGCTGGGTGAAGGGGGGACCACAGGCGGGCGGCCCCGTTCCTCCTCCGGGGGATGCAGGGGCAGGAGCTGGGTAAAGGGGGGATCGCAGGCGGGCGGCCCCGTTCCTCCTCCTCTGAGGGTGCTGCGGGCAGTCAGGGTGACAAGGGACAGTGTCACAGCCACTGTGCACGGTCACCGGTGGAGCACACCCCACTGGGACAGCCAGCCTGGCTGGTGGCTTGCAAATACTGGAAGAAAACCCTTGAGTAAGTGGAGAATTGCAGATTTCTGGGGAAAAAAACATTCCACTTGCTTGGAGAAACAGTTAAGTGTGGAATATTTTTTTTTTTTAAGTATTAGTTTATGTCTGTACTGTAGAAAAAAATGATTTTTTGGGTGTCTGATTTTCAGATGAAAGATTAAGGCCACGATATATTTTTTTTTAAATATTAGTTTATGTCTCTACTTAGAAAAAAATTACATTTTGGGGTCTGATTTTCAGATGAAAGATTAAGGCCACTTTATCTGCGTGGCTCCTGAGAGCGTAGCTTTGCTTAGGTGATGCCTGCAGATAAAAGAGCTGCCAGCTCTTACTGGAAGCGGCTGACAGTAATCGTTCTGAAGAGGAATAAGAGGAAAAAAAATAAATTGTAAAAAGTCAGGATGAGGTCCCACGTGTCTGGAAGGAGAGCCCGTGCCTGCCCCAACGGGTAGGTTTGCTCTGGGACCTCGCTGCATCGCAGCCACGCGTTGGGTAGGTTTGAGGTTTTTCCCCAAATTGGAGCTGGATCAGTGAAAGCCACTGACAGCAAACATCCCGGCCGGGCAATGAATTCCACAAACCACCATTCAGAGCTGGCTCCGCTTAGAAAAACTCTTCCCCAAGTGATGTGTGTGTGTGTGTGTGTTCACTGGGGACAAGTGAAGGAGGGTGTCCAGAGAGCAGGTCATCGAGGGCTGGTGGTCACCGGGCACTGAGTCCCAGGTGGCTTCCCCAAGCCCTGATGCTCTGCCCACTAGAAAGCCAGTGTGGAGCAGAGCCCTGACCACAGGACGGGACATCTTCCAAACCCCAGAAAATCCCTGACATCTTCCAAAAGTGAAGGAGGGTGTCCAGAGAGCAGGTCATCGAGGGCTGGTGGTCACCAGGCACTGGCAATGAGTCCCAGGTGGCTTTCTCCAAGCCCTGATGCTCTGCCCACTAGAAAGCCAGTGTGGAGCAGAGCCCTGACCACAGGACGGGACATCTTCCAAACCCCAGAAAATCCCTGACATCTTCCAAACCCCAACAAACCCCAGAAAATCCCTGCCCCGTGCCCCGCTGGCACAAGGGTGGCTTTGCACAGCCGGGTGCGCGGGAAATCCAGGGCACCTCGCTGCCTCCCGGGAGGATGGAGCGGGTGGAAGGGGGTGATTTAAACGTGTTGGGGTTTATCCCTCGCACAAGTGGTGACCTGTTGGGAACCCCAAGGGACCCAGAGAGGCTTTTTTGGCCGGCGTTCCCTCAGGCTGGCCCTTTAAGGAGGCTGTAACAGGACACCCCGGAGCCCCCGCAGGATCAGGATCCTGCCGGAGAGGTTTCCATCTCTCTAAAACTGGCTGGTGTTTTCTATTTTTTTTTTTTTTTTAATTTTTTTTCTCCCCTCCCTCCCTCCCTCCTCCCCCTTTTCCCTTCCTCCAGTCCCAGTTCAATTTGCTGAACAACAGCATGGATCAGAGCATCGGCAGCAGAGCAGCCTCCGCCAGCCCCTACAGCTCCGAGCACACCTCCAATGTCCCAACGCACTCGCCCTACTCCCAGCCCAGCTCTACCTTCGACGCCATGTCCCCAGCGCCCGTCATCCCCTCCAACACTGACTACCCTGGTCCCCACCACTTCGAGGTGACCTTCCAGCAGTCCAGCACCGCCAAATCAGCCACCTGGACAGTAAGTTGCATGTCTTCTTGTCTTGGTTAAGAGAAGCGATCGTGGCTACGGAGGCAGCTTTTGGCCATCACCCCGCTGTCTTGGTGGTGTTTGGCATTGGGCACGCTGGCACGGGGGGCTGCAGGATGTGGCCACCACCCCATGGGGACTTCGGCCACACAGGTGGCCCTGGAAAGCAAAACGTGCCAGGAACATCAGTGCTCGCTTTTGGGGGGATTTTCTCCAAAAGGGCTGTCAAGCCCAGAAGTTTGAACGTAGCTTCTCTCGCAGCGATTTCCTAAACTGCGGGTGGATGTCCCTGAAAATCGTAAAGCTGGAGAAATGTCCTGGGGAAGGACCTGCCTTGTTCTCATGGTGCTTCCCCACACATTTGCCGGCTGTCAGTGGGCGAGACGGACCCTTGCTCGCATCTTCTGGGGTCATCCTTAGCTTTGCTGGAAATTCTTGCTCAGTATTTATAACCCTTTTTTCATCTCGTATCAGAAAGGTAACTTAATCTCTAGAAGTCACGGTAGAATATCAGAGCAGGCTTTTAACCTCAGAGGGTGCCGTGGGGATGGGGGTGCAGCAGCCCGGTCCTTGGAGATGCCGGTGGGGTCCGTGCTGGACCGGTCACATCTCTGCAGCCAGTGGAGGAGTCCTCTGCAGCCCGGGGACCCAGGAACCAGGCAGAGTCTGTGACGGCTGCTTGGCTTTTTGTGGTGAAAAGTCCTAAATTCCCATCCCGGCTCCTGCCTCCTCCTGTCCCTATTTTTAAGAAAAAATGGCACTTTTGGCTGGTGCCGGAGCATTTCTGCGGCGGACGCCTCTGAGCTGCTCCACCAGCACACACCAGGCAGGTGGCTTTTCTCCTCCAGGAAATGTTATTGGAGCAGAAAGTCTGGGATGAGACAACTGAGACAGCGAGGGAGTGACAGGGTTTCCTCTCGGGTGGTGGTTTGACATTAGGGTGGAACAGGCAGGATGTATCTACCTGAGGTACGAGAATGACTTTGAATTTTTGGAAGCTGATGTGTTTAATTGCCAAGACAGTCCTTCCCGGGGCAGGAGGAAAGTGTTCCTGGGATGCTTTGGTGCAGGCAGTGCCCGGGCTGTGCCGCGGTGCCCGTCCCGGTGTGTGATGGTGGGAGAGGGCAGGAGGGGATGAGCTGTGGTGGCTGTTGTGGTCCTGGGTCTGTCTCCTAAGAAAACCAAGGGGTGGGCAGAGAGGGGAACCCAGCAGCAAGCTGGTGGCTGAACACAGCCAAATTCATGGCTGGGACAGCGAAGGAGCATCCCAGTGTCCGGTCACCGGAGCATCCCAGCTGAGCCACGCTGCCCAGGGGCTTGGGAGCAGCACCACCATTAAATACCACTTGCCCTCGTAGGGGCAGGTTAAGTCCTCACTGTTTTCCACTATTTTTCCACTTGAGATGCTGCTGAAGGATGCATTTCATTTAGGTTTGGAATAATCTGAAGGTCCTCAGGGTAGGATGTGACTCCGACCCGGTCCTATCCCTACCAGGGGATAACTCACAGCAGGTAAGGGTAAAGCTGCGCAGGGAAAGGAGACATTCCTGGGCCACAAAAGCATCCCAATAGCAACCCAACTCACAGGGATGCAGGGTGTCTTGTCCCGGCACGGGGGGCTGGGAGGCATCTGGTGTCCCCTCACCGCTGTCCCCAGCTCTCAGTGCCCGGGGGTGGCTTTGGGATGGAGCGGGCAGGGCCAGGCTGGGTGCTGCAGGGACCTCCAGAGACAGAGAAGGCACCTACTAAAGGTTCTCCCTGTGCTCACTCTAATTAGCAGTAATGAAATACCCTCCCCTTATCCCAGGTGATGCATGTTGCAGCCGCAGGGAGTAGATCGGAGGAGCCACTAAGGTGTTTGTGGCTGGTTGTCCCCAGAAGAGCAGAGGGAAGGAGCCCGTGACAGCCCCTTTTCCTTGCTGGAGATACCTGGGATCATCCCACAGCCCTAAACTGGGTCTGGACAGTCTCAGCATCACCCCGAGCTGACCGTGCTCCTGGAGGTGGTGTGTCCTACAGGAGCTGGGCTGATGAGGCCAGGGTTGCTTTTTTTCGTGGGTTTCAAGGTCTCCTTTAGTGGGAGCAGCCAGTGCCACACGGATGCTGTAGGTGCCCTCCTGTCCTCGGGGGGCAGCTGGACCCAAGGGATGCCCGGCAAACACACCATGGGCAACCATCAGCACCTGCAGAGGATGCTCCCAGGATGGGAGCTGAGGCTGCAGGGTGGAAGGGAGGACCCTCCTAGGATGTGGTCCAGAGCAGAGGAGTTAAATGCTTTAATACCAGGCAGGGCAGTGGGTGAGATGGTGCAGAGCTCTGACCCAGGTGGGAGTTGAGGCTGCAGGGTGGAAGGGAGGATCCTCCTGGGATGTGGTCCAGAGCAGAGAAGTTAAATGCCTGAACTGGCTTTAATACTGGGCAGGGTGGTGGGTGAGATGGTGCAGAGCTCTGACCCATGATGCTGGGGTGACTCTGCATCCCCCAAACACAGGCTGGCCACCGGGCTAGTGGCCACCAGCCCAGATCTCACTGCGCTGGAGCCTGACGGAGAGCAGAATGGGTGGGTGGTGTTTACCTTGGAGAGCTTGGGGGATGTTTCCTCCAAAACAGGGACCGCTGAGGTGGGTGCAGATGGTCCAGCTCCCGAGGTTGCCACAGGACGAGCAGTCCTGCTGCAGTGACTGCCAGATCCCCTCCATCTCCTCCTGTCACAGCCACCCGGCTGCATCTCTGGTGCCTTCCTCCCACTGCCGCGCTTGGGAGCCTGTCCTGGTTAAACAGGGAAAGGAATTCAGAAAAAAAAAAAACACATGTTTTATATTGCCAGTCAGTCAATACACAAATAATGGTGTCTGTGATTCTCTACATAAATTGTGAGTGCGTATGTAGCAGCGGTCAAGTAAGATTAGGAAAGAAAGCTAAGTGTACAACTTACCTACAACTCCCTGAAAGGAGGGTGTAGAGAGGTGGGGGTCAATCTCTTCTCCCAAGTCACAGGCGACAGGACGAGAGGAAATGGCCTCAAGTTGCGCCAGGGGAGGTTCAGGCTGGATATTGGGAAAAATTTTTTCACGGAAAGGGTTCTCAGCCATTGGAATGGGCTGCCCAGGGAGGTGGTTGAGGCCCCATCCCTGGAGGTGTTCAAAAGACGGGTTGATGTAGTGCTGGGAGATAGGGTTTAGTGATGGTGTTGCTTTTTGTTTGTTGTGTGGGTGTTTATTTTTGTCAACATTAGGTTGACGGTTGGACAAGATGATCTTGAAGGTCCCTTCCAACCTAGAAGATTCTGTGATTCTGTGTAGGGTCAGCGGGGCTGGGGATGGTGACATCCGACAGCTTGGTGGTGGTCCAGCCAAGGGGAGCCAAATTAACCATCTTGGTGCCCTAAAGGACACGTGTGGTTGGATTCTGTGAAAGGACCAACAGTGAGATGCGCTGCCCACCTCATCTGTAGCTGGGGAGGTCTTTGCAATATTTTAACTGCACTAAATAATTTTCACCAGGGCTGTTGCCATCATTGAGCCCAAATTGGGCAGAGCACCCTGCCAGGGAGGGTCTGGGGGCAGCGGGAAGCTCCCCCATCCCGGGGGAAGGCTCTGCCAGACCCCCAGCTCTGCAGACCTCCTGCGATCCAGGGCTGGATCCTGGAGAACCCGGCCGAGGAGCTGCCAGCTGGCACCCAGGTGATGCCAAACCAAACAGTTTGATGCGAGTCATCTTCTCAAAAGGATTTGGCGCCGTTCTAGTTGTTTGATACAACCGTGAGCTGTGGTGGATGGGAGTGTGGAGCCCCAAGAGACTCCTGGTTGTAGAGGGTTTTGACTGAATCCCTCCAGCTGTTCCTCCAGGGGATGTGGTGTTATCCATTCTCCTACACTTAGGGAAGGAGGCTCCTAAGGAGCCAGGACTACTGGCCAAGGAGGGTTTGGAGGTGAGGTCTCTACTCAAGGTGGGTGGTTGCTCCACAGGGGTTGGGCAGATGAGCATCACCTGGTGCTGGAGGTGCCATCTGCAGTTCTGGTGTCCACACTTCAAACCCTCCCTCCACTGACAAAACAGAAAAGGTTTGGGAGGGAGATCCAAAGAAGATGAAAGATTTGGAACAGATGCCTCGTTGGGCGATACCAGAGAACAATTCTGCATGAAAGGTCTCCACGAGAAGAGTAAGGGTGGCTCCATCGCAGCCTGCACGGGAGATGGTTTCTGATAGCAGGCAGCTCTTTAATCTAATAGAAGAAGACATAATGAGATCCAGTGCTTGGAAGCTGAAGCCAGGCAAATTCAGACTAGAAACGAGGTGGAAATTTTTTTAACAGTGAGGATAATTAACCATAGGAACAATTTACCAAGGAATGCGGTGGATTCTCCAACTCCTGAAGTATTCAAATGAAGAGTCTGCATATCTGCTGGGAGATAAGCTGCACTTCAAGCAGGCACCGTTGGCTCCACGCAGAAGGAGTGGGCACAGAGACCGGCAGCGCAGGGACCTGAACCACAGCATCACCATCTGCTCCCTCCAGCCTTAAAAAGCCGAATTTCTAAAATTTAGGAAAAGGGTGAATGGAGAAGGGGCGAAGACTTGGGACGGGGGTTCAGGGCTGGCGTTCCCAAACCACGGTCTGTCCTTGCAGAGGGATGATGCTGGCCAGGGGGTGGGTGACACTGAGTGTCCCACACCTTGCCCTAAACTCCCAACCCAAGCGGCCACGCTGCCCCGTGCCGCAGGAAGCCCTCCAAGGCTGCCTCCACCTCCCTTGTCATTTTTAACGGCCTTCTTATCAGCGGAGAGCAATGGCCAGATGCTGAAAATAAGGTTTTCCCCCCGTAGGTTGGAAGCCCCCCTCTGGCAGGCGGGGAGGAGGATGGGGAGCTGTGGGGCTACAAGCCGGGGCACGCCGACAGCCCGCCTGTTTGTTGGAAGCTGTCAGGGCTCTGGGTGCCCCGGAGCTGCCCGTACACGCTCGAGCTGTGAGCCCATCTCGGCTGTTTTC